TCATTTATGGCCTCCCACAGTACTATAATTACCTCATTGATTTCATGTGGAAAATATTGCAAAAAAAGCTCTGGAATGAGCACCTCCTTGGAACACTCTTCAGCTTTATAGCTCTTTACTTGTGAAAGGGACACTCAGTCTAAACATTATAGGTCCTCACTTGACCTCACTTGACCTGACCTGACCTGACCTCCATGGCCAAAGGGGGAAACTCTCCATCCCATCCAAAAATATATGAGTTTAAAGATTTTAACATTTCTGACATCCATGATAGAATCTTGGCTAATAATATGTACAGTATAATAAAATAATTATTCTGATCAATAAGATAAACAAAATTGCATGCGAACATATGTCTTCAAATACCTTCATGATTCATACAAACATTCATACTATCAAAGTTGAGACAGCATAAAGGGCAACATCAGAGAAATACAGAATAGCTCTGGTCCAAATAGTCTACCTATAGAAATGAAAAGGCACGACCATTATTGTATATATACAATAACCATTATTGTTTCTTTGCAAAAAAACACCCATATATAATAGCTTCATTGTATCTCAGTAGAATAACTAAGGTAAGGTCAAAATGTTGGCAGATTTAGCTGAACCCCTTAGGAAAGAGGAGCATAAATGTCAGCGATGAACTGAAATAAGCCGGTCAGTCTGACTTTACAAAAAACAGTTAGTACTTTTTGACATTTTACGGCTTGGGATAATTAATAGATAAACTGCTCATTCTCAAGAAATTACTCTGCAGTGTAATGAAATGGTTTGATTTTCTGACATTTTTATAAACAGTAAAACCTGTCTATGTGGAACACCATTGGTTCCTTTAAAGGTGTTCCACTTGGAAGGTGTTCCACTTACAGAGGTTCATCTAACATATAAGTCAGTTGGTCTTGGGACTCTGAAAAGTGTTCCACTAACAGAGGTGTTCTACTTCTATAGATATGTCACTTTGCAGGTTTTACTATATAAAAAATTTCTATAATAACTGCCAAAATTCATAAAAATGTTTCTTCAAATACAATATTTATTAATATTTCAACATAAAACAATAGACTCTTGGGCAATTTTAATTTCAACATAATGTCATAAAATACGCCATGATCCTCCCACCACATCATATTATTCGTATCACCTGCTACAACTTTCTGATTTATCTGTTTCTTGTCTGCTATTTACTCCCCGGCAAGCCTATAATTCCCACAATTTCTATCTAAAATTTTAAAGAAATCTCCAACTCTTATATTTTCATATGAATAAGATCAAAAACTTCTCAATTGATTCTTTCTATTATTATCGGTTTCTCTTGATAGAACAAAGAACCAGACAAAAGGTCATTGTAACACTTGAATTAAATAATCAACCAATAACAGAGTTGATACAATTGCACAATTTCCCATATAAAATACCTGCTGATGTACACGAAGAATACGTTAACAGAAAGTAGAAATAAATCATGTATTGGTTTGAGGCGGAAACACAGGCTGTGGTATTCTCATAATCAGGTAGGTGTTTATAGTAGATACAATGGTTGTAAGTTATAGGTACGTTACGATAATGTGTCTGGGGTCACGTTCATCTACTTAATCCCCCAACAGCCATTATAGTAAAGCTCTTAAATGTCAACAAACTCATGCAATATTACATGGTATGCATTTGATTCTATTTAGCATTAGCAATGAAGAACACACTCTAATTAGAAAAAACATAAATGAAGTTTGGAGAAAGCTCTGTTTTCTGATAACTTATGTTTTTTAAATATGCAATCCGATTGGCTCTCAGCCTCATATAATACTTCCGAAATCAGGACATACCAAAAAACTAAAACAGTACAAATTGATGTTCAAATCACTGTTGAAAAACTCAAAGAAAAAATTATGGAGGAGCACCATAATAAGAAACCAATGATCTATCTGTAAGATTCTCTTTCAAAGAAAAGGGGTATCATAACTCTGTATAATTGATATGCGACATATTACTGTTTTTATAATGTAATTTGGATTCAATCTCTGGGTAATCAATCTACGAGATAAGATACCAAAATAACATCTCCTTCATACAACCTTGAATTGTTTTGATACAATTCCGATTTACCAGACACTTTCTGTTTTTGGCTGAATGAATAAATTAATGAAAATCTTGCGTTAAATCACTCATCCTGCTCCGTAATCTACTTTCAGAGAGGAAGAATTGAAAAGGGCAACATAATGCAGATTCTATATACAAGACACTTGTTGAAAAGATAGAAAACAAGATAAAAACAAGTTGTTTCTATTGCATAACTCACCTGTAGCCGGTTGGATGAAGATGCCATTGTTTCCATAGCAGCAAGTAGATAGCCATAGCAGCACATTAATCACCATAGCAACCAGGGTTGTCAAGGATCAGAGAATATGAAAATACAAAGAGATGTTTTGGTTAGTGTCATAGATAAAAAAAAAAACTAAAATGTGCATGCCAAAAAATAATATATCAGATATTTTCTAACTTTCAAAGTCAGAAGATTTACTGATTAGTAAGTAAATATTTTCTTTTTATCCATTTGCTTTGATAAACAATTTCACTTTCTTCTCTAGAACTTGGAAACAGAAATAACCAAAGCAGCAACTACCATGGCATAAATTGACACTGAGAGGGGTGAAGAGTAAAAAATGATTTTTATGACTTCACGAGGTAATATCTGTCAAACTATTCACATTTTAGACCTCGTGGATCGTGTTTTATTTCCAAGTTGTGGTTTTCTGCTGTGGTAATATATAAGATAACCCATAAAAGTATCAGAAAATGTTACAAAATTTGCAAGAAATTTCTACTTTTCTACATCCAAGCTAGCATTATATACAGCTATTGACCTAATTTCATGATGATATCAAACGTGTAAAATGCATGACATATTTGTTTTATATATGGTAATCTATTTATTTCTTAAATGAAATAGATTCTTTGAAAAGATCATCTGTTAGTTCTTTACATGAAAGCCAATGTTAATAGTGCAACAGTCAGAGCAGAACACAATCAGGCGAGATACAAATGAAAACATGAGCTTTTACTATGCTACAATTGTATTACAAACATCTAGGTTAATTATTCCACAGTATTAAACAGATATTTTTCTCGATCAATCATTAATATATTTATAAGCCCCCTGGATCATAAGCCTTCGTTCATGATCTTCAGCTATAACAGGCATTCAAAACCACGGAAACCTAATTAGAAAGTCCTCAACAAGAGATCAAAAGTTCTGAAAAATGATAGTGCATTTAACTACATTGTGAGTCCCTAGTTATCTATTGGTTCCAGAGATAATAAAGGCCACAGAATCCACAATGGCATTGCTATAATTATGGTTTCACCCGAATTGTGCCAAAAACTACTACTCCGAAAGACAATGATTTGGACCAAAAAATGTGGAAATATCAAAAAAGATACATGACCTGAACATACAAGTATTTAAAGATTTTCTGATGATGGGAGTGACACATGTAGCATTCAGATGGCAGAGGACCATTTCCTTTGAAAGATAGTAGGGTACACACAGTTGCCTTGCATGACTCTCAAGTTCCAACCTGAGTCATGTAAGGTCCAACTCAAGTTCAAGACCCCAAACTTCCGTAGAGAAATGAAATTGCTTGTACAACTGAAGTATTTAGGTTTCAACATAATTCAGATTTCTAGGGAAACCAAAGTTGACAACTTAGAGGCCTGACCTCAATCATATAAACAACAGATCTCTAAAAGTAAATTCAAATCAATCATTAAGGTAGTTCTGCACATTCACAAGAACAGTTTTGGGAAAATAAATTGGGAACATGACAATTCAACATTCAATCAAAATATGATGTTGATTTTGAACTCTGTATTCTTCAACAATGTGTGATATTACCAATTTCATTAAATATTGATAACTACAATCATGAAAATTACATTAAAATTCTCATCTTGTAAATCTATCTTAAATTCAAAGAATGTGTATAAATCGTATTCCTTGACCACTCAGTGGCACTTAACATAACCCCCTTGAGCAGCTGTTGTCATTCTTGGCCCCTACGACCCTCAAGGTGGTGGTGATTCAGTAGCAATCTTTACAGTACAATCAACAATTAGCCAAAACAAATCCTGTTTACCAATCCATTTCATCTAAATTCCCATACCAAGTCCAGTGAGGACAGCTTTCTTCCTAGTTAAAAGGATTAACTCATTCATATTAACCCTGATTTGACCCTTTTGTCTGGTTGATATGGACCACGTGTTTACAATATTTCTGTAATTGTTAAAGAACAATTGCTTTTGATATACTAAATATTTTCGCCATTTCACCATTATATTCTTCTTTTGTCTCTCAGTGTTAGCCATATCAGGTAATTCAATTAAATCCTTGATTAGGCAATTATGTCTGCATTTCTCTTTGTTCTGGACCACCTAGCTACTGAACTCGTTTCAAATGGTCCTTAACCAAGGATTATATTTTCTGCTTTAGAATAGAATTTGATGATACTTGAGACAGTGTTATGAATACCAATTAAATGAAAGAGAAAGTTGACCACCTAAGGCCCATTCTGTCGTTTAACTCACCGATTTTCTTTCCCTCTATGATAAGAGAAAATTCATGTTACCCATGACTATAATGATATCTTGATGCAGAAAGACTATGACGATAGCATCAACTTTGATCTATAGTCTTTAATACAGACACATAGAGCTTCTATGTCTGCAATTGGGGCTGGGAGAGGAGGCAAATTTTAATATATATCATCAGTACTATCGTACTTTACAAGAATATCATCAAAGTCTCCAAGCTTAGGGTTGAATCATTTCTGGTTGATAACACAATGAATGAATAAGCCCTGGTAACAAAAGTAATGAAAAAGCATTACAAAACATCGCAGGAAACATTCCCAATTTGATGTTTGGATTCTTCTTTAAGAGGATAAGAAGCCATTTTGCATACCATAAGATATTTGATATTGGATAACAGCATCAAACCGAAAACTTGGAACCCACAATATCCCTAATAACGGGGGGGTTTATCAAGGGATGCCAGTACAACAGAGCCAATTAGGGTACATGGGCCCTCAGGCAAACCCTATCCCGCAGATGTCTCACAACCAGTTCATACAACCTGGCATTGGTCCCATTAATACGCAAAGGGGACATTTCCCGATCAACCAGCTCAATACAAATGGTTCAACTCAGGGTACTTTAGTTCAGGTCCCTAATTCAGGAGCCACAGGTCTTCAGAACACACTATACAATGGCATCCCGATTGGACCACGCATTCTGACAGGTATGGGTAATCCTTCCCAGTTCTCATGGTCTGCACCATTAGATTCTCACCTTAATGAGGCAACTAAACAAAAGATCATTAGTGAAGAATATATAGATTTCAAAACCTTATTGCCAGCCTCAGTCAAGAAAAAGAAAAAGAAGCCAGCTTTTCAATTCGAACAGAAACAACAAGATGACGGCGAGTCTATGCTCATCATAGCGCCAGAGAAAGATGATCAAGATCTCTCTTATAAAGAATGGCAACAGGCCTTCAATATCTTCTGTACAACTTACATAAGACAACATAGTCACGAGGCCGCAAACTTGATTAAATATGGTGACAAGATTAGGGAGCTCTCTAATAATCCCGAGAGCAACTGGAGATACTATGGCGAAAGATTCAGGGAGAATAAGAAACATGGACTTCAATGGCATACATGGTATAACGATTTCATGCTTGAGGCGACATGGGTACACAGAGTGCCTAGACAAGTTCAAGGGAAGTGGAAACCCAATGGCAAAGGTCAGAATGGAAAGAACAATTCTTTTCGTGCCATTTGCAATCAATGGAATTCAGGGAAGTTCTGTCCTCACTCTACATGCCCAAGATCCCACATTTGCTCAAGCTGCAAGGGCGACCACAGGGTTACAGATTGCAACAATAAGAAAGAGGAAAATGGATGGGGAAATCGTAGCAAGTTTGACAACAAAAGGAAAAACAAGACCCAGCCTTTCAAACGAAATTGACATGACATCAAATCCAATAAAAACTTTTATCGACGAAAATAAAATTTCGCCTTATCCCGACTGTTTTGTACAAGACACTCCAGTGAATCCTTTAGTCCTTTTCGATATTCTTGAAGGCTACGATACAGACATTCGTAATTTCCTATTTGAAGGTTTCTCCAACGGTTTTGCCATTCCCTACTTTGGGGATCTCCCTTGTTCTTCAAGTAAAAATCTAGCAATCCCAAAAGACAACCCTGAAGCTCTTCATAACAAATTACAATCCGAAATCGATCTTGGTCACATTGCAGGTCCTTTCACAAGCCCACCCTTTAAGAACTTGGTAATTTCCCCCATAGGGGTAGTTCCGAAGAAAACGGTGGGAAAGTTTCGCTTCATTCATCATCTGTCTCACCCAGAAGGTTTTTCGGTAAATGACGGAATTGACGAAAAATATGCAACAGTCAAATATGGTTCAGTTGATGAAGCTATCGAGCTAGTTCGGGATGCAGGTCCGTCAGCCTTCATGAGTAAGACAGACATAGAAAGTGCATTCAGAATTGTCCCAATTCACAAGGACTTTCACTTTTTGTTAGGGATGTCTTTAGAAAACAAGTTTTACTTTGACACAAGACTTCCTATGGGACTGAGACATTCATGCCAACTTTTTGAGACCTTAAGTTCGGCTCTGGAATGGACTGCAAAATACGTGTTGAATATTCCTAAAGTGGTTCATATCTTGGACGATTTCTTTATAGTAAATATTGACAAGGACAAATGTGAGGAGGATCTGAACAGTTTTGTAAGTTTGTGCGAAACAATTGGTGTCCCCATATCGAAGGAAAAAACACTAGGCCCAGATACTGTCATGTCATTTGCGGGAATTGAATTGGATTCAATTCAACAGGAAGCTAGGTTACCAATTGATAAACTGGACAAGGCAAAAAATTTGATTGATCAACTGTATAGATGCAAAAAAGTTTCGCTGAGAGATCTTCAAAGTATCATCGGCCTCCTAAATTTTTGTTGTTATGTCATTCCGGCGGGTAGAGCCTTTTTGCGTCGTCTCATCAATTTAACAATCGGGGTTTCTCGGCCTCAGTTTAAAATTCGCTTGAATTGCGAAGCTAGAGCGGACTTATTGACGTGGAAGGTCTTTCTTGATAACTTTAATGGCAAAGGGTTTTTTCATAACTCATGGGAACAGGATGATGGGATATCGTTATTCTCGGATGCATCAGGGACTTTGGGATTCGGGGCCATATTTGACAACCAATGGTTCAATGGCTCATGGGATGAACAAGAATCCAATTTAAATATAGCATTGCTTGAACTCTTCCCCATAGTAGTTGCTTTTCACCTTTGGGCTGATCAATTGAAAAACAAAAATATTACTATTTTCTGTGACAATGAGGCTATTTCCTACATTATTAACAAATCTTCATCGAAGGACAAGGATATTATGGTTCTGTTAAGAAAGTTCACTTTATGTGCACTACAAAATAACATTTCTTTTCGTTGTGAACACATCCCGGGGAAATTGAACATTGCAGCTGACCACCTTTCTCGATTCAATTTACAGGGTTTCAGAAAGGCGGCACCAGAGGCAGAGAGTGCACCCGTGGTCCTGCCCAAGAGCTGGACACTCAGCAACTGGCTGCAGAGCTAAACAAAACAATTGACGCAGCTTTGGCTCCAAGTACGAAGCAAACTTATGCGAGGGTGTTGGAATTGTGGAACACTTTCCAATATGATACGGGATTTCATTTGGATACATGTGACCCAACTACAGTCGCTCTATTTTGTCAATATTTAGCCAAATCTTACAAACCATCATCTATAAGAACTTTCATCTCAGCTTTGAGCTACCATTTTAAGTTAGGAGGGTATATGGACCCAACCAATACTTATTTGGTAAGGCAAACTTTAATTGGATTAGGAAAACTTAACCCATCTTGTGATTCTCGCCTTCCGATCTCCTTATCAATTTTACAAAAGCTGATAAGCATCAACTCTTCAATGAATTTGTCTGACTTTCACCTGAAACTCTTCAATGCTATGTTTACTACTGCTTTTTTCGGTCTTTTGAGGGTTAGTGAAATCACTTGGGCTTATAAATCAAATCATGCAATATCCATACAAAATGTTTCTAGATCTCAAAATACATATCATGTCATACTCGACTCTTTCAAACATGCGAAGCCTAACAAAATTCACAAAATAGCTTTAAACCCGCAACAATCCGATGTATGTCCAGTTCAACACTTAGAATCTTATCTAAAGGTCCGACAAGGTATGGGTCACAATCAACTCTTTTTACTTGAGAATGGATCTCCAGTAAAAAGGTCACATTTTACTGACCACCTCAACTTCGTGCTACGTGCTGGTAATTTTGATCCCACTCGATTCAAAAGTCATAGTTTCCGTATAGGGGGTGCCACATACGCGGCAGCAAGGGGATTATCAGACTCACAAATAAGGGATTTAGGGAGGTGGAAGTCGGACACTTTCAAACTGTATATACGCTAATAACTAGGTTACACTTTCAAGCAATATTAGATGTAAGCCAGACAGCTCATTTTATGCTGAGGCACCAATCATTGTGATAGTATATTTTATTATCAAACTTCATATATATTGTTAGCTCAGAGACTGTTATACAACAGGACTTTTTATACGTAGTGGGGTTTATTTTGTATTTGAACCACAACTGGTCACTCTATTCTTTATATAATAAGGATAGTCAAGTATTACTATATTTAGTCATTTCATCAGTCTCAAGAAAATGTTTATGTCAATTTATAGTCTTCTGAAAATTAAGATATTTACATGGGATTGACTTGTTGTAGTTGTTATTCTTTACGTACTAATACATTTTAGAAACTCAAATTTTCTTGATTTATTTGTTTTACACTTACTAAGTTGGTGGGGCCACAAAGTAACTGGCGGGTTAAAAAATTGGGATAAGTACAGTTCTTTGTTGTGGCGGGTATTCAGACCCCACCTTTAACCGATTCAGGATATTAGCTGTAATTTTAGGTTTAACACCAGGTAAGGGTGTTTTCACGCTTGAGAGGCTCCCAAGGCTCGCACACGTGTTTAGTATCAAAGCTTAATGCCTGTATTTCGGTTAAATAGAATAACTTAGTTAGTGCATAAAACCACAATTATGAGCAAAATAATTGTATTTATGAACAGCTAAGGGAGTCTCTCTTGTGTGTGTTTCTGGGGAGTTACCTCTTGTGCTTCCACCTTGTTCAGCTTTCCCAAGTTAGGATGACATCATTCTCCTCCAATAAGATTACGAGGTGTTGCATACGTAAGAAGTCACGTGACCAGCTTCAACCAATCACAGATAGCGTCACCTCAGATTTTCCGCCATTCTTCTGCTTGATCCTGACTGATTTATAAGAAGCAAGTTTTCCATTATTTTCATCGCTTTTCAGCATAAATTTAGAGGTAAGAGTGATTTTATTTTCCCTCCTCCTCCCCTATTCTTCCTCCCTCTTTTTACCTTTTTTCAGGTCTCAGGTACCCGGACGGGCACCTTTAGGTATCGCAGGTGGGGCGGGTATTCAGACCCCACCTTTAACCGATTCAGGATATTAGCTGTAATTTTAGGTTTAACACCAGGTAAGGGTGTTTTCACGCTTGAGAGGCTCCCAAGGCTCGCACACGTGTTTAGTATCAAAGCTTAATGCCTGTATTTCGGTTAAATAGAATAACTTAGTTAGTGCATAAAACCTATAAAGTGGTAAAAAAGATTGAGACTGTTGATAGAGATACCATAAAAGATTTGCTCTGCTGTATAACTGAAGGAATGCCACCCACACTACTTACAATGTAACATTAGTAATCACAGTTTATGTTTAACACCACCAAGGTGATGCCTTTGGCCACAACACTAATGTACACGACTTAGATGATGCAATGCACTAAACATTTATAGAGTTTTTGATCTCGTGAATACTATATAGAGAAAGATCATAATGCAACATTAACAAAACAAGAGATTGACCTACAAGCAGCAAACGGCAACATAAATGGCTGCATCCATATATGCTTCCAAAGCAAAGTCATAGCATATTAAAGAAACCATAATTCAACATGGCAAAATAGATACATCAAAGTACAAATCCAACGCCACATTAAAAGCAGCCCTTATGTTCATACAGTAATACAAAACATGCCCATAGCATTAGCATAATTCTGGTGCTTGGATTTGGTCTATCTTCCACTAGGTGAAACATAAAGAAGATCTATCATTGCTCCATAATTCTGACTTTTATGCTGAGTATATCTGAACAAAGATAACATAGATTATTACTATCTCAGTGGCCATAACATAGTATCTGGTTTGTCCTCATAAAACTATAAAACTTGTGTTTTATGTACACTGTTCTAGTATATCAGTTATATATTCTATTACATATCTAAATCTTCTGGTATATATACGTAAGCTATATGTTCCTGCATCATAAGCTGCATGTTTTTCAAAGCTGCATCTGAACAGTGTGGCACTAGCCATCTGCCCAATATTATGAAAAAGTAAGTTAATTTTGTACAAGAAAATCCAAACTAGCCATTAATAAAACAAAATGAGAGCCTTCTCTACTGATCTCTAGTCTCTGTGAGACATCTAGCTCATTCTTAGAAACAGCCATCTAAAATGTCCAACATAACACTCTCTCATAATTGCAATTGTTTTTTAAAATATATTCTTTTATGTTGCCCTTTGTGCATTTCTTGCACATTGCTCAAGATTGGAATATTTGGAAAATGTTTACTTTGATCAGGTTTTAGCATCTGGCATATGACTTAACAAATTGTTGTTTTTCTCCAGTGTGATAAACAGTTCAAAATCTGTTTGATTTATCGATTGTATGACCTCGAAAATCTTCATAACTAGAAAGCTGGTGTTATTAGTCAGAAGTATAATCAAAATATTAGTTAAGAAAGACAGTATGGTGAGAGAGGAAGATGAATCCTTTGAGCAACCCTTGTAACCAAGTATTACTATGTTTTAAGGCATCTTAATTATTTCTTCTGAAATAAAAAATTGTTAGATGATTGATATGTAGACTCAGTTTATCACTTTCCTTTCTATGATAACTCTCATTTATATTGAAGTTAAATGCCATCATACGCAAAGTAATATTGAGAGGGAGGATGCTATTGAGGGGAGGATGTTGTTGAGGGGGAGGAGGAAATATCTGTTGTTGAACTGCTTTGTTATCAATTGTATATGAAGATCACCTGTTCCACTTTTCAATTCATGATAACAGAGATTTTACAAAAAACTGATGTGAAGTCAAAATCAATTACAAGTAGCTCTTCTCAGAGTGATAGGAAAACAACTCCATTCCACTTGCCACAATTTAAGAAATTGTGTTCTTGTGGCTTGCTTTATTGATCAAAATGTATTGGATGCTGAGATCAGTGTTTGGATATGGGACTAATGTTGCCCATTGTTGATCTTCTGGAAGACTACGATGTTTGTGTCAAAAACAAACTCTGACCAACATTTACCAGAAAGAATGTATAAAAACTAATTCATATTATTCATGTCATACATACCTATTTACAACAGTACATGTATAGTATAGAGAATGAATGAATCTTGCATGTAAACAAGTACAACATGGCAGAAAAGAATGATTGGTGTCTAAGTGA